TTATCTTTTTTTAGACTCATCTGGCATGCCGCAGCAATGCCAAGAATTAATCTATCCATCGGGTTCTCCACGATCAATGGCATATCAGCCAAAAAGGCCCACTCGGTAAGAGCTTTGCTAAATCATCTAGCAATCTCTAGAAAATCCGAGGCGAGGTCGAGTCGCTGTTCATCATGGCCAAGGCGCCCTCTACCCGGTTTGAGTTCATTTTCACGGCTTTGAACCCGGGAACTGTACGGTTGTTTACTACGGTCCTGTCCATACATCGGGCTTATGAAACGACGAAGATGTATCGGGAATTGAAGGTGAGAGAGCGCGTGAGAGAGCGAGAGAGAGACGAGACGAAAAAGAGCAAGAGAGAGTGTGAGCGAAAGAAACAGAGAGAGAGAGAGAGAGAGAGAGAGAGAGATAGGGAGAACGACGAACGAGAGAGAAACTGCGAGCGATAGAGAGTGCGAGAGCGACCAAACCGGGAGACAAAGAGTGAGAAGAGAGTGAAAGAGCGAGAGAGAGCAAGCAAAAAGAGAGCGTGTGGTATCTATACACAGCGAGAGAAACGGAAAGAGCGTGAGACCAGGAGAGAGTGAGATTGCGAGACAAAAAAAAAAAAAAGACGGGAGATAGAGGGCTATAACCTCCGTAGCCATTTGAGCTTTATAAATTCAGATGAGAGGCGCTGTCGTCGACGAAAACGAGCAAATCCGCATCCTTCCCCTGGAACAGCAAGCTGAGCGAGTTACTGGTGTCTGGAACTTGAGTAGTGATCAGGTAGTTTATGCATTTTACGAGTTTACCTAGGCCATGCCTTAGGGTAACCTGGGTTGTTTCATCATCACCAACGTTCGAGTCGTTTGGTACGCGTCAATGAATCCACAGTACAACGTCTCCATCCCATATCTACAGCTTTTTAGTTGTCGGTAGGTACTAGGAGGAGATCTCTTTCTTTCTCTCTCTCTGATTCTCTCGCCCTCTCTCTCTCTCTCTCTCTCTCTCTCTCTCTCGTTTTGCCGACCTTCCGTCAAAATAACGAGTTACGAGTCAGATCACTTTTGGTATCCGCGACTCAGAAATTTGGGCTTGCGCTGGTCTTGAAACGACATAAACGGTTTTTTTCAGGAAAAACTAACAACAAAAATTTAGAGTGGCGAATACGTGCTTGGCTTCCGGATTGATCCAGAGGAAAAGCTTCAAACTGTAAGTCTAACTTTCAGAGAGTCAACGACTCGGCCCACGATAAATCGACACGAGACATAGTGGATCCATTAGAATCGGGCACGAGATTCCGAATCTGTCATCAGAATTTGCTTCTAAATAAAACGGAGAAAAGTTATGACTTAGGAGTTGGTAAAATCTCGCCCAAAATCAGGCCTTTATGGGCCTGTAAGGAAACCCAGGGAATAGAAATTACCCACAAGCCACTAGTGCATCTTGTTCAGCAGAAAAGCGGCACCGAATGAGCTATCTTACTTCAAGTTTACAGTGATTTCCATGAAATCTCTTCTATGAACTTGACAGGCCATACATACACCCTGCCCGTGAATCTTAAAAACTTTTTTTTCCGGTTAATTGTTTGCAAATGGTACATCAGATAAACTCATTCAAAAGCGCACTCTGCTAGATTTCAAATCCATTAGTCCCTCTCTCAGGAATTCCCTTCCCCCGGTTTCTCAGGGCGCCCAAAGTGCCCCCCCCGGCGATTTTATCCCAACTTTGGCCCCCGACCTCTTCTTTTCTCCGTTTTTTTGACCTAATTCTGATTAGCTTCGGAGCTCCGTGTCCCATTCTATCAGATTCTTATGTGCTCGTTTTTTTTTCATTCGATGAGCCGCCTATCTACTTCCCTTATAAGCCAATCCTTAGCCCTGACCCAGAGCAGGGCAGAGCCTGAGAGAGAGAGAGAGGCTAGAGAGAGAGAGAAATGGTCGTGCATCCCCCGAGCTCAGCCTCTTCAGGTGTGCCAAGACAATCCAGTCGATGCCACTTTGAGACTTACATGATGCGCCCAATCTTTGGCGTCCAGAATACCAAGGGATCGCCCGGTTCGCGCATTAAATCTATTCACTTTAGGAAATGGCTGTTTCCGCCGACACCCACGACTCGGCGTCACAGATGCCGTGGTGCGATGGAGACGACATGAACGTGATTGAAAAGTTTGGGAGACCGGATGCGTTTGCAGTAAGTCTGCTCAACACCAGACACCGAAAACAGGGCCAGCCAGCATTGATTTTTTGGGGGCATTTATTTTCGGAAAATACTTCCATTAAAAAACAATAAATAAATATTAATCAACTATAATAAAAAAGGAAATGGGACGTCTGTGTGTGTGTGTGTGTGTGTGTCACGAGAGCCAGAATTCAACTCGAAGGAAAAGGGAGCTAGGCTTAACTCTCTTCGGATTCAGGACAAATTTTAGTCAAAGCCCCCCAGAAGCTGATTAAAATTATAAAAAAGAGTTTTTGGTTTAAATTCATTAAAAACTTCCCTTTGAAAGTTTTTCCTTAGTGAAGGGGTGGGGCCCCTCTCCCGGAGGCCACGCCCCCTTTCCCATCGCCCCTCTTCCCCAGGCCCCTTCCGCGCCCAGATGGTTTTTTTAAGTTACTTTAATACTTTTTAATACTTTTTTAATACTTTTTTAATTATGTTAATTAATTATTTAAATTATTTAAAGTATCTAGGAAGGTATTTGGGTAGTTCTGAAGGGATTTTCGGCTATGGGGGTATCACAAAACCATCAGGGAGGTATATAAATAGTTTTTGAAGGGGATTTCAGCCCCCGTAGGTATCTGAAACCATCAGGGAAGTTTAGAATACATTAAAGTGGTTTTGAAGGGGATTTTAGCCATGGGGGTATCTGAAGCCATCGGGAGAGAATATTTTAGAGTAGTTTTTGAAGGGGATTTCAGCCATCAAGAGTATCTGAAGCCATCGGGAAGATATTTAGGTAGTTTTTAGACAGGATTTCGGCTATCGGGGGTGACAGTGGAGGTGGGAAAGGATGTGGTAAGAGCCGGACATGTAAAGGGTAGCCCGAAGGCCCAGATGGTTGCAGTCGCCCCGGGACTGTAACCATCTGGTAATCCCATCGATTGTTTTTAGTAGCTAATTTTTCAGGCAGCAGAGGGGGGGGGGGGGGGGATCCTTTTAGAATTTTCTCCAGAATTTCTCCGAGCCGTCTTCTTTAAGGCTGTCTTTCTTTTGAGCTACTTCTTATCTGCCCAAGGCAAACTAATTGAGGTTCAACGGAAAGTTTTTAATATTTTGCGGGGATAATTTTCATGATGTGAATTTAGAGTTTTGCCAACTGCCGCATTGTTACTTATTCCTAACGTCAAAAGTACCATTCGTAGTCATAACGTTCAGGCGGCCGCCTCAAACGCCAACGTCACCTGGTATCCACCGACCACCCGTATTTTCAAGAAGGCTTTCCGGGCTCGCTGTGGAACAGCTTGAAGGACGGACACCACCATTTCGGATCTGTGGGTCGTGCATGCCCCTTAATCAATTCGGTACTTTTCCCTGTGTGAGATTAGAGTAAAAAACGATTGTTTATCCCGACTTAAATTGGCGAAATTGGGTTTGAGCAAATACAGAAAATACATGTTAGGGGGAATTCAATAAATTAGCCCTGACTAATGGGCTTCTTGGTAATTTAGCGGTGTGGCAATATCCGTTCAAGCTCTTTCTAGGAGGTTGCCAAGCGTTTTGTTGATCACTGAAATGTATAAGTAGCGAGACAGAGAAAGAAAATGAGAGTACGATGTATTATTGCGAGAAACAGGCTTAGGCAGAGGAAGAGAGAGCTAGTAAGAGATGGCTAGGAAGAGTGGGAAACGAGGTAGAAAGGTACAGGGGAGAGGGAGCAAGAGGTGAAAGCAAGAGCTAGCCAGATCGCCGGATGAGAAAGCGGGAGAGAACGAGGTGCGGGAGAGAAAGAAAGTAAACCCAAGAGAAAAAGAAAGAATTGGACATCGATGCCGGAAAATCCGAAATCCCGAAACTCAAAAGCGAGAACAAAGGTAAGGAGAGCCGAGGCCAGAGGAACAGAGAGAGATAGGGAGAGAGAGAGAGAGCTAGTGAAAGCGATATAGCGTGGGAGAGATAGAGATAGCCAGAAATCATCTTCTAAACACCCACCATCATTCTGAGCTGGCGGCGTAAATTCGTAGTGACGCGCAATGCGGTAAGATTTCGCGATCAGATTCCTTCAAGTCAATATAAGAGTGATTGCCTGTCTTTTTTCATACCCTGAACATGATGGCACAGACGCGGACAAAATCTTATGAATAGCGATAAACGTGAAGAGCAGCATCAGACACCAGATGATCGCGCCTGAATTTGAATTTGCAAGTGCGCACTTAGGAAACTTACGGAAAACGTGTCAAATGCGTCATCTCCTTACTAGATTTCCATCCACAGATTCTCCTATATTTTAAAAAGAGACTGTAAGCTTACTCCTCTTTCTCCTAGACGGGCCTTCTGGGAAACGCGCTTCACCTCTTCCATGACCTCGTCTAATCGAGATTTGACGAAAATCAGTTTTCAGGTTGAAAAGACGGAATTCAGCGTGTAATATCCAAACTTAATAAGTTATCCGAAACCCTACCGCTTTCATCGAAACCGAAGTCGATTTCACGGATGATTTCAAACTTCCGACGATCAGACGCATTTCTTCTAAAAATATTTTTGGGGTTTAGACCAATTCGATACACCCCTCGCCTTCGCCCACTCCGCATTCTTATACTTCCAATCTTTTGGCAGCGGGTCCTCGAATGGGGGCCTAGAAATTTACTTTTTACAAAAGAACTCCGGAAGATTCCCAAGTAAATCTGGCATCAACCCCCAAAGCTCCGAAAAACAATGTAAACCTACGTTCATCTTGTCCTCAAAGTCCTCCCGACGTCAAACAATTGGAGCTTGGCTAAAAAAACACTTACTACTTTACGAAAAATTGAAGAAATCTCTTACGGTATTTCTGGCGCAACGACGCGATCTGCGCATCACGCTCTGGAGTCGATGTCCTAGAAGAGTAGACAATTTAGATTTTTAGTATTCCTAAACGCATTAGCGGCACCCATAGAAAAAACCTGGAGCTAAAGGGATAGTTGGTACCACTAACTAAACAAAGGCTACAGGCTAAACAGGGGAATTTCTTTTTCGTCATCCTCGCCTTTTTGGTCCGTATCCATCCTCATCGGAAACATATTCATCTTCAGCGATGCCATCGTCGGTCTCATCGACCACAACAGGCTTGATCCTCGGCGACCTGGAACGGCTAGCTAGGGTTATCAGCTCTCGCCCCTCCCACACTCTCTCTCTCTCTCTCTCTCTCTCTCTCTCTCTCTCTCTCTCGCTCTGCTTTCTCTGTCTCTCTCTCGGCATACCGCGCTCTTCTCAAGGACCGTATAAAGAAGATCGATCCAGAAGATCCAGGATTCTGAGCAAAAACATACCTTCAACTTCTCGGACTCCCCATCAAATTCATCATGGAGCAAACGGTACGTTGGGATCCAGCGCCTCCTGTTGATCAACTCGGCGGGCCCTCGTTACTGTGTGACAGGCGCCCCCTCGCCGATCCCAAAACAAGTTTCTATTAGATACCATGATGCCAGAAGAATTAATAAACTTTTGAATTTACCTTGACAGCCTCTTGGGAGCACATCGTAATCAAACAGTTCATCGTCAATTGGTCACTAAGGTCATCCTGAAGCGAAAAAAAAAAAAGATATTTTCCCATAAAAGCTGAAGCTGAGCTAAAGTTGCTGTGATTTTTCCATCCGCGTGCGAGCGGGAAAAAAGATGGTGCTAACCTCAGATTCGACGAATTCGTCCTTCGGCTTTGGCTTTTGCACACGTTCGGGAATGATTTCCAGCAGCTCATCATCGACCTCGTTGTCGAGGGCATCCCTCTGAAATTTGAAGCGTGAGGTAAAATTTTGGATTAATACGGTCCAACTCTATCCAGATGAACGCCTAGGAAAGGTCATTATTACTCAGGCCATGAAAAGCCTTCGAAATGCGCTGCACATAGGCGGAGGGAAAGGGATGAAACATTTGGAAGGCTGTCGCTGACATCTTGACATGCCGAACTGGTCGACAATCCCGAAACCTGTGGAAACCTACATCGATAACGTGCTTCAAAGAAAAAGTCTTCTTGTACTGAATCCTCGGCTTGGCCTCGACAGCACTGTAAATTTTTCATTAGCCAGAGGGCATTTTTTATCCTGAAAATCAACAAATCCCGCGGCTCTTTGTAAGGTATCTTCAAACCGACATTTGATCCTTCAATAACGTGAAAAACGGGTTTACGAATTGATTTTCTACTGGCTGTGATAATGTCGTACGCAGCGAAAAAAACAGTGGGCGTGGCGCCGTCGTCCAAGGTCCTCTAGACGCAAAAAGATGCCGTCGCCAACATTCGCTATCCCGGCCCCTTTAATAAGCGCAAAAAATTTTCAGTCCGCCTTACTCCCGATGACCTCAGAGCCAGTTTCGAACTTGCACTACCCCGCTTGACCCGCTCAAAACGACGCGTCAATGGCCCAGATTTTTATTTTCGACGCCCAGAAAAAGCGGCCGCGACGCCGGTGCCTTCCAGCACCTTATCACCGGCACGCCCGATTCTGAAAAATGCGTCCAACCCCCAAGATGGAGCAGATCATATGGGAAGGGCATCACCCCCGTAAACACACCCACTTTTACCGTCAATCAATCGTTCGGCTTTCTGAAATACGCTTGCCGCGTGTTTTGAGGACACTGGGATATTAGTCAATACAGATTGCGAAGGGTGATAAGCCCCCTTTAGCAGGAAGGAAAATATTATGAAAGGAGAAGCTGTCTGGATGAAATTGAAGGTGCTGTGGTTTCCAGCACACAGATCATAGCCTCTGTTCATGCATGCGGGTCCCTCCTTGTCAAAAAAAGAGCTATTTCAGGCCAGAAAGGAAGGGAGAGAGAGAGAGAGAAAATGGGACCGATAGAGGGAACATTGTTTGAGACAGATAAGAGAGAGAGGATAGAGAGAGAGAGTGAAAGAGAGAGAGAGAGACAAAAACAGCAAGAGAAAGAGCCGAAATAATACATAGGAAACAATTATGAAAGAGACAGCAAGAGAGCGAGACGGAGAGACACGAGGGACCCCAGCTTTAGAGAGAAACAAAGTTATAAAGAAAGAGGGTTAGATAAAGCAGGATGAAAACAAAATAGCTAGAGAGAAGAGAGAGAGAGCGTGAAGAGCACGATAGAGAGCATGAGATATAGCGAGAGTGAGCGGGTCAGAAGAAACAGAGAATGATAGACGCAGCTGTCCAGACGTAATGAGCTAGAGGGTAGATCCACTCCGGTTTTGCCCAAGCGCCTCACCTGAAATCCGGAACATCCATATCGACAACACCGCAATCTTCGCAAATTCGGTTGCTGGGCGAGGTGCAGGGTGCTAGAATTTTAAAGTTTTAGTGCACCCCCCCGAACCTACCAATTCATGAAGATGTGGCGGCGCTTCCTCCTTTGCACGGCTCGCACTGCCGGCAGCCTCCGCCCGGATGGACCAGAATTCATCCTGAAGAAATTGGGTTCACAAATTCATCGATCAATAAACTTACTCGCCCATCTCCGCGTCTGGTGGGACCGGGATGAGGCGATGGCGACGAACCGAAACATTAGAATAAGCGTTGTTCAAAATGACCACTGGTGAGCTTGCGCGATTTTCCCATGTGGGTTTTTTAGCGTTCCAGTGTCTGCATCCAGCCGTAACTTGCAAGTAGCCCGGTTGAAATTTTGAAACCCTAGATCGGTCCAAAAGGTTTCCCCATCTCGCACCCAAGATCCCCATAGCACGCTAATCAGATTCCCCAGATCATTTTATATATCGTCATCACATGCCGTCCCTTTTTTGCCCCCGTACATAGAACTGTAGCGTAACAAAAGGTATTGACACAGCAGAGGGTTATCAGATTTTTCTGCTGTCCCACCGGCAGTAAGCACAGGTTTTGGTTACACCGTTTTGATCCAAATGACGTACTTAAAGCCATAGTAGCGTCTCGGAGATTTACGCGTTAAAAAGCTTTGGGTTACCTTAAGCTCAATATTTCCTTCCTACGAGGGAAAGTTACGTAACCTGTCCAGGAATTGCCTAGATTTCCAGCCAGTAAAGCGCGAATTTAGCACGTAAACCAAAACGTGAAAAAACTGCCATAATCGGCTTAAAGCTTTCGCCAAAAACTCTTAGCAAAATTAAGATCCGGTGAGACCCCCAGGGAGCGCATCGTTGACGACTGCCAGCTGCGGCTGCCGCCGGGCGGGAACTAAGAAGTCTGACCTCAACCGGTGACTCATTCGCCCAAGGCTATCCGCCTATTCCACTCCCCACAGGTCCCGCCGTACCACCCGTCAGTCAAAATCAGAACAGACAGGGATGTACTGTGGAGAAGGAAAAGAACAGGACACGAGAAATATTGATACTGTAATTGATTGGGGGCAAAGGTGACAAAATATCTCAAAGGTCACAGCTTATTTTTTTGCCGGCCCGTTGCGTTCTTCTTTAAGGCGGCGCTTTGCAGCTCCGTTTTTCCCCGAGTTGTGGAAAAAATTACATGTCAAACGTCCGCGCCTCTCACAAGGGCGCGCTCTCTAACCGGAAATACAAGCAAATTTACCACGGTTCGTGGAAAACCGGCGCTTCTAAAAGTGCCTCTATAAAGTGTATCGTCAGCGATAAGAAATATCAGATATTTTGCAGATTGAAAGGAGCTGGGAAGCGCAATAACCGCCCCTTACCATTGATATCAGGTACGGACAGTTAGCGGCCGCTCCAAAATACGAACAGGAGCCTCATTTGGCTTAGCTATCCCGACCTAGTTCATAAATGAAGGCGATCCTGGAGCTCTACCGTATTTAAAGAGGCAAGTCTTAAGACAGGTGGGCAGGTTGTTCGGCAGGCAACTGAACGCGGCAGGAATTTCAAATAAAGCTTCTTTATTTAGCATTTCATAGAGGAAATAGACGCCTAACAGGCAGCCAGTTTGCGCCATGTGACCGGCTTGAAATCGCACACCGTCCTGGCTTATCGTATGCATAATCTTAGGTGGAACTAAGTCAGGGATGAGTCAGAGGAAGAGAGAAAGCGAGAGCGAGAGAAAGAGAGAGAGGGAGGGGGAGAGAGAAAGAGAAAACGGAATCGAGAGCTTTATAAAATGCATACATAAGGATCGCGCGTTCTTATCAGAAAAGATTCTACTCGTCACCGAGCCCAACACTCTTCGTTAACATAACGGTATTTGGCGAAAATTAATTTTTTTGCCCCGTGAATATAAAAACGAACAAATTCTGCTTTTAGTCATTACATTCAAAAGAAAAGTCATAAAGTAAAAATCCAAGAAGCACCTGATGACTCAATGATGAAGCCAAAATCAAACCGGAAGCAGCATCAGAAATACCGTAATCCCGATCGTGAAAACATACCAAAACTGGCCGCAAAAAAACTTTCTTAAAACCAGATACCGCCAAAATTCAAAAGTCATTCGATCCCTTACAGTTAGTGAGATCAGTTCACAGCAAAACGGAACGCCCATAAAACGGGCCATCCGCCCTGGAAAAATAGATCGAAAATGGGGGCGGATTGATACGCATGAATTCCAGGGTCAGCAGCGCGGGCCATAAGCCGTGGGCGGACTCTAGGCAAACCGAACAAACACCTCCCCCCAAACTGTGTTTTCTAAAAAGTGACCTTTGCCGGCGCGCTGTTCGCGGGTTTCGAGGAGGGAGGGCCTGACCTAAAAAACCGCCTCCATGACACACACACACAAGCTTCGAAAATTCACACACAAAAAATGTGGGTGGGGAGGAGGAAAAGCGGAAACGGTGAGGGGCCACGTCATCCCATAAGGGGCCCGGAAATTTTATGATAACACCAAATTTCAATGACCGCACCCGGCCGCCCCGGTCAATATGGAGAGATTAGCCTGGAATTTGTCAACGGAATTTTGGGCGTTTTTGGGGTGAAACGGCGGTCAGCAGTCCGGGGGACGAATAATATGTTTTTAGGGTCCGGTGGCGAGGCTACTATGAGGTAACCAAGCTAGCTATAAAATTTGGTACAGAAATGTTGTAAGTAGGAACATCAAATAGAGAGAGAGAGATAAAACAAGAGCGAGAGTGAGAGAGAGAGAGAGAGAGTAAGATAGAGAGAGAAAGAGGCAGAGAGAGAGAGTGAGAGAGAAAGAGAGAGAAAAAGAGAGAGAGAGAGAGCGAGAGAGAGAGAGAAAGAGAGAGAGAGAGAGAGAGAGAGAGAGAGAGAGAGAGAGAGAGAGAGAGAGAGAGAGAGAGAGAGAGAGAGAGAGAAGAAAGAGCGATAGCAGTCTAAAAAATTAAATCTGCATCTCGAAAAAGTTAGGCGGAAAAAGGCTCATAGTGGGAGCGAGAGAGAGGGAGAGAGATGGGGAGAGAGAGCGAGAAAGAAAGAGAGTGAGGGTGAGTATTTGAACAAATGAAATTTGCATCCTGAAAAAGTCAATGGTAAGCGCAATATGCATTTATTTTCATCCTTTTTCAAAAGGCATGAAGTTTCATGGAGCTCTGAATTTCAAAGATCGGCCTTCCCGCGGAGTTCCAGGCAATATTGTGGGATTAAAGCGAAACAGAATTCAAAATTGCAAGAAGCCCTGCAATGAAATTGTTATGGGTGTGATCGACTGGAACAACATGTTGAAAGGATGCGGTAGGGCCCCACTTGCCGCAGATGGACGTTCCAAAATTTAAATGAGGGTAGGAAATCGGATAACTATTTGGTTTGAAAGTATAATTTTCGTTGCGAGGCCGACTCCCCCAACAAAGTTTTAAAACGGATTGGCGTAGCTATTCGTTAGAATTTACAGTAGCTAAATTGATAAACGTTTGCCAATTAGCGGTGCGTTTTTTTAGCATTCGCTAAACATGGAATTAAGCTAAGCAAAAGGTGATAGCAAAAACAGTCAGTAAGGTGGAGCTTGAAATCGAAACTTTTTGGAATCCGCTGACCGCTCTAGTTTTTTATAGGCCGGGATGTCCTTTCAGGCTTTTTCTGTATTTTCAAAAATTGATTTCCTTTTAGTGCAAGGGCAACTTCGAATTGGGGTTGAGCTAAGGGAATATTTATTCAAACGTTATTTGAACTTGACGAAGGCAGTATTTACAGATTCCAGCGGTAATCACATTGATGAGGTAGTGGACGGGTTTAAAGCATTTTCCAGAGGAAGGTAATTTGGGTGTTTTTCTACAAGTTGAAGCATTCGAGGCAGTTGCTTCCGCGCCAGCCAAGGCAATCCTTGCATTGTTGCTGGAGGAACTGGAAAAAATGTTATAAATGTTTTTATAGAATTTTTAAAGCCTTCGTGGGCCGTTTTTTGGTACTTTTGATATGTTTACTTTTTAAGTGTTGAAAAAGCGAAGTTTTACAAATTTCAATTTTATTTAGTTTGTCTTTTTTATATTGAGATTCGTGCATTTTTCCGAATAGTAACGTTGAAGTAAGTTTCTTTAGTTTAACGTATTTAAATAATTTTAAAATTTAATAAAGTAACAATTAAGCGCTTATACACTTAAAACTCCGTTCAACTATACAGATAAAATTAAATAAGCAACGGCGCAGGTTCAAAAAATAGATAAAAATTGAGGGGTTATCAATTATAACATAATTTTTTAATTTTTTAACCAACCTTCCCTCTCGCCGCATCACAATACCAATGGCATTCCGTCATCCACTCCTTGCACAGCGTTTGGAAGCAGTTCCGGATCATCTGGTCAAACTAAATAAGGTCTATTAATTCAGTTTCTGGTCTATTTACGCATTTTACGCTTTTTTTAGAACGGCTCAGCAAGTACCTCTGAAACGCGTTTCCGGACCGGTGGTGCGACCACGGTATACGAAGAGGCCAGCTGAACGACAAACAAAAGGCACAGCAGGAACGCCACTTTTCGCATGGTAAACTGTTTGTCGAGTTCGAAAGGTCCTGAAAGTATATTGGGTTCAAGTACGGGTTTTTAACCATTAGGGCATAGGGTTGCAACATCGGGAAAGTTGCGACTTGGGGAAGGGAAAACTGAGGGGTGGAAGTTTTAAAAAAATAGGAGCGGCCAAGAATTAAAGGGGCTAGCAAGGTGTTACCCCTCGTTTTATATGGATTTTGCGGCGCACGCGATATCTACCGTACCTACATATATACTACGCGATACCTTACCCAAAATCGCCAAATGGATTACGGCTTGATATCATCAGTTGCCCGCTATCCATTGTACCGTATTACAAGATTGCGCTTTATCAAAACGCGTTTCTTCAGAATGTAAGGCGTGTTGCGGGCACTTGCGCAAAAAAAAATCGGAAAAACAATGGGTAATCAAAAAGTTCGTAAAAAATATTTTATATAAAAAATATAAAAATAGTAAGTTAATAAAAATACATAAAACTCCGCTCGGTCACGAGCAGCAGCTAGAGCCGTGAGGTTACGCGCCTAAATGTAGGTTTTGGCGTGCCGGGTAGCTGTTTATCTTAGTTTGCAGAAAAAAAACTGGAAAGCCGTGGACTGGAAGCCCGAGCATAGTTGCTTACATCAAACCGACAAACCAACGCTACCATACGCTAATTTTACCGTTTCTAAAATGCAATTATTAACTGAGTAGGCAACGTTTTTACGCCGAAAATAAACAGGTTTTGGCATAAAAAGATGTTCCGATGGGTTTTTTTTGCGATAGCTCATTCGATAGAATTTTAAGTTCTTGACAAATTCATGGTTTTAAAAACTGTTGAACGACACGAACTTCAATGAAACATTTATCAAAGTTGATGTTTTTCGCGCGCGGGCTAAAGATGGCCAAATTTAGGGTTTTTGGAGCCAATTTTCTGGAAAACGGTATTGGTTAAACAGATCTTGTAGAAAAGCTTATGCTTAGAATTTCACGCTTTATCGAAACAGCCATCTCACAAAAACTACCCGTGGACCTAAAAACGCTTTAGTAGGTCGGCGACGACTTGTTTTTGTCTCACAAAAAAATAGCAAACTTGGAAACTTTTGGAAAAAATGATCAGTTGCTACATTTTCCTCGAAAACGAAAATTGTGAAAGAAATCAAGTGATCCAGGAAAATAGGCGATCACTCACCCACTCGCCGGGTGTGTATGGGCGCCAAAACGGATAGTGAAATGAGGAGTGAAACGATCCAGAGAAAAGAGGGAGGCATCTAGCTTCTCCTGCAGGCACAAACGTGTGAAAACAATCACCTCCTCCTCCCTGTCGAGTCGCAGCTCATCCAATCCTCCCCCTCAAGCTCCCACCTCCCCCACACAGCTGGATGGCAAAAAGACAAAAAGCCCTCCGGCGATTCGCGCTGGCGAGGAGATTCTGATAAACGCCTAAAACCTGCCCATTTCACTCATCGGCGCGTGATCTCTCCTAAATTTATATCCCTTCCCCCACTTTCCCATGCACCTAGACAAAAGGGAAATCAAATTTGGAAAGACAAAAAATTAAAGCGGGTTTAATGGGATAAGGATGGCTATTGCAGATCAAGCCATTTACTATAGGCAAAAACCGAATCGGTTACGCGGTAAAAACCGAAGAGGGAGAGAGCGAGAGGGAGAGACGGAGAAAGAGAGAGGGAGAGAAAGAAAGGCAGGAGAAAGAGAGCGATCAAGGCTTTTTCCCGCTAAAGGATCGATTCAGGCTGATTAATACGGGCGGCTCGTGTCGTTTGAAAGGCACGTGGAAACTTCGGAACCAAATCTGAAGCGGCCTAAGGATAGTCAAAAGGTCTTTTTGAAAAAATCAATTTCGAGGGCTTAGTGGAATCCCTGGTATAAAACTTGAGCCGTTTTCCAGTTTTTCATTTTACTAATGCGCAAACTACGGCTGTGCTATGGACTTGAAGACTGTTAGAAATTAACTTTTTAGACGATTTTTTGCGATTGCCCGAATTTTCGGGCACCTACGGATGATGTATCATACCCGTCCCTTTAATATCCGCAACACGCCTCCGATCAAAGTATTTGTATATCGGGCCCAGGTTTGCTCCCGCAATCCACTGAATTCCTGTGTTACCGCGGTTGGTCGACCCGCTGCACGCATTTCCATATGCAAATTCAAGTGCGTATTTATTCAAGAAAATCGGAATAAAGACCTGCATCTTTCAAACGACGTGAACGCCCGGGACGGTTTGCTCCTTTTCAATCTGCTCGTTCAGAATCTTTACGGTATCGCCGATGATCGCCGCCTTCTGGCGGCGCTGAAAAACTCTTGTTAGGGTATACATAAAAATATCCAGGAAACGAAGGCAGTATCGCGAAAGAGATGTAGAAAGACTCCAAAAACCCACGTGTTTCACGCATTTTGCGACGGCTGTGTAAAGCCCAATGGCACCCAAGACCGCAATCAGAGCGCCGGCACCGAGCATGATACGGACGTTACGCGCAAGCCTGAAAGCTTTAAGATTGCAGGAGTGTCCTGTCCCTCAAACCAAATATTTTGACGATACTTATTTTTGGATCTTTAAGCTGCCTCATCAAAAAGGCGATGTTTTTGGGTAAAACCTGTCAGAAGTTGAAAACACACTGTATCGGGTTGGGAGACGTCATCGATAACCGTACCTTTGTCTATAGTCCCAATCCTCCCAATTGCGTTGACCGTAGTAATAGTTATAGTAGGGGGGATACCGATCCTGGCTGAAAATTGAATGCTAATTATTGATGGATGCGCTGCCTCACTAATTGCGCCAGGGTGACGGGGTCGTGAGTTGGTTGTAGTAGTAACTAGGTGTCCAGCGGTACCTGACCGGGAGCCGATCCGGATATGACGGAGTCGTCGGTGGCTCGTAGCGTGGTGTCGTTCTCCATGGGCACTGCTCCCTAAACGCCTCAAAATTAAAAAACCTCACAAGTCCCGACCGAACGGCCTGGATTTTGCTATTCTCCGGATCCCAGATGCCACGACATGTTCCGCATACGGTATCGTGTAGTGAATCACAGCTGGCCTGTAATGGTTTTCAAAGAAGCGTTGAAGCGGAAGCTCTTTCAGACGATTTGTGCAAGTGGCTTACAATCATGTAGCTGTTCCAGTTGCATCTCGAGCATCTCACACAATAATAGTCCCCGTGCCAGTTGATGGTCAGATAGGTATCCTGCAATGGTTGGATACGTTTGAGGAATATGGCATTACGCACTTGCGCCTAAGCGACTTACGCGCACGCGAAATGTTCAGAATACCTACATTTACGCAATATTCCCGCAGCGCCTGGGCGTCAAGAGGTCTGGATGGAGGAGGTGATGTCGTGTAGTTCCATTCGGCTTTGGCTACCTAAAAATCGGAAATTTCAAGCGTGGCCCCGTTTACACTATGATACATCCGGATGACTTCCAGCCATGATGCCGAGAGCCAGAATCCCGACAGCCAAAAACCCAACGATCAAATTATCCCGACAACCAAACCGACAACCAAAATCTCGACAACCAAAATCCCGACAATCACGACAAGTAGATGTTTTCAAAAAGTAGTGGCATTCTAGCTAGCGTCAAGAATGTGTCATGACTTTCGCTGCCGGGATTTTGGTCTGTCGGTATTTTTAACGTCGAAATTTCCACTGTCGAGAATCTGGCTGTCGGGATGTTGACGTTTCCCCAGCTAGAGGCACTGTTTTTCGAATTATGTTGTCCTTGGTTGAACTGCTTAAATTAGTTTATACTGACCTACCTAAAGTTAAAATCAATTATTACAAAAAAAAAACCCTTTGCAAGGATTATGTACAATACTTTTGATCAAAAATATTGATATTTTTGAAGGTTTTTGACAATAGATCACTTGGAAAAATGCTAATCAAAACAAAGCTCGATGATTTTATGACTTTTTGCTTTGCTTTATCAAGTCTATTGTGACATTTTAATTTTTGTTGTATCGTATAGTTTTATAATGACTTTATGCAGATGACAAGGACGGGGAAGAGATCAGAACCGAAAACGAATACATTCTATCCAACTAGCGGTAAATACAGGCTCTCAGCCGGGCATAAAAAGGGAAATGGAAAATCGATAAATGGGAGTGGTGAATACTAGAAAACTACCTGTAAAAGAAGGACGAAGACGAGTAAGAATATTTGCTTCATATCCGGTGTAAAAAACCGGTTCGAAACGGATCGATGGCTTGCGAAATCGAGGCCCAGGTTGTTTGCCGGGCTCTTATCAGTTTTTGAAAAATGCTGACGAACGTTTTGGGTCGAACCGCCGCTTTTCTTAGAGATAAGCGCCTTTATTTTTGTGAACACCCGACATAAGCTGGTTGTCGATTTTAAAGGGGCTGGCAAGTCGAAAATCTTGTGGATTTGACTTGCGGGGCCCTTTAGAGGGTGGGAGATGACATAGATTTAGGGTTGATGACTAGATATCGACGATTTGGACAAAGATTTGGGAGACTATTACAGTATTATGCGACTAGAAAGAACTAGGGAATGTGAGGGAAATTATTGAATTGTTAGTGACATTCGCATCAAATAGTTTCCTCCAACTTTGGCATCACGGACAGCTCCTCGACGCTGGCGGCGCTAGCCGAGTCGAGGTATCTGAAAAAAGGTGGTATGGTAATTTTTGCCAACGAAAGTTTCTAGAGCTAAATCGCGGCAGTCAGACGTCGATATATAAATTACGATACCGTGATTACGACAACTGAAATGCTGAGACCCAAATGCCGACAACGAAATGAAAATGCCGACGCAATGAGAGCATTTGAAAAACCATTAGCAAAGCCAAATCTTTTGAATTACGGTATTCCGGTTTCTCGGTAGTTGAGCTGTCGGCATTTTGGCTGATTCACATAGCCAGAAATTCCCAAAAAAAAAAACGGAGGAATGCGATGGTCGCCCTTCAATGAGTAATTTTTTTAAGGAAAATTTTTTGAATATTTTCTTGTTTATATAACACAAAGTATTACAGTAATCACAATTTCTCCTACCTCTCAAAATCGACGATCGGCCTGGTGTCCTCAGATCTTCTACCCATATCCCTCCACGATCGAAGGGACCTCGCGCAAAGCAGACGCTGGTTGTCGATGCGGCGCGCTTTTTGAATCTTGGACCTTAAAAATAAAGTTGTTTTCAGATATATTATTTTAGTTGTTACAATTTTTTTTAGGATTTTGGACAGTTTTAGAGCCGCTAAGAAGATCTGGATCAAGGGCTAGGTTTGTTGAGGTTGGGTCCTTTATTTCTGTATATCATTTTACCCAAAATTTTTTTAGATCGTTAAAATAAAACTTACGTGTGTCTCAGACTGACAACAGCCGACAGGAACGACTGCAACCCTGAGAGCGTCAACAGGAACAGCCCGGAGCCGACGCTGACCGAGGCTTCTGGGCGCAGGTTGGCAATTGTCGCCTCGGCCACGATGGATACGGCGCAGGCGGTGAGGCAGAGAAGCACTAAAATATAAATTTTTTTGGGCTGGTTGAATCTACGCTTACTATTGCACATCTCGACCACCGTATTCCTGCGTAGCCATGCCAGGAAGCTGTGTGGCGGGGCGAGAACGTGAAGGAGTGCGGCGCAGAGGGCTGTTAGAGCAACCACGAAGCAGAGGGCGATTAGGAGGTCTGAAATCCGGTTCCTTAGAAGTTTTTCAAGCAGTATAGAACGGCACCATCACTTTAAAGGAGCTGAGAAGGTGATTTGACATTTTTCAAGTCTATGGGCTCTCCTTCGATTTTGTCGCTCCCGTTAAAAGCGTGTTAAAATGGATTTTAGCCCATTACACAACCGCACTTGTGCTTATCGTGGCAAAAGCCAAAAAATCTGACCCTTCTAGGCTTCTTTAAAACGAAAAAGACCTACAGAAAAGATCAGCAACCAGCGGCGTCACGCAATCCCACAACACCCGATCCTCGGTTCTGAACGCAGTGTGCTTCTTCCCGTTCTTCTCGACGAATCCCCCGAATGAGGAGATGCTCCAGAAGTCACGGGTACCTACAAGAAGTGAGATGTATTGAGAGAGCGAGAAAGCGTGGAGAGGTGAGCAGAATAATCACGTCGAGACTCACCCAAGCGTTCGCATTTCTGGGCTCCCGGAAACTCAGAGAGAGGCTCGATTAGGGTGGAGTTGGTCTCGTCATCGATGAGAATCCAGTCGCTGCTGATTAGGGCCGAGATTGCCTGAGAAATGATGATTGATGCAAGGTTTTAAAGGGACTAGTAAACGTTAGAATCGTCTGCCTTTCGATAAATCTCAATAACTACGCGGTACTCCCAGAAACGTTGGAAAGGCATCATAATTTTTACCATAACCCCCATTTTTCCAAAAGCTTTTTTACATGAGATATGGCATCATTTAGAGCAGTGCGCAGCTGTCGAGACCTAGTCAAAAATAGAGGTGGATTCGGATCGGTTGGTAAAAATGTCCATTACTTGGCTTTTCCGATACCGCTACGATACCATTAGATGAAATTCCATTCACGAAAATCGGCCTAAAAACCCACCAAAATGGCGACAAAGATGTTGATGAACCCGGAGGCGAAGTTCGACTCGGCCGAATCATAAACGATCCATTTCAGCAGCGTTCGCATGCGAGCGCTAGGAGAATTTTCCATATTTTAGGGTAGAAATCGCGAGAATGAGGAATCTAACTCTGTGAGTCGAAAACGAGAATCAAACAGGCTGATGAAGCGGACCGGGCGGGGTGGTGCCTGGCTATGTTTTGGCTGCGGTGTCCAGCACGGCAGATGGGCAAACTAGGGGCGCTTCGTCAGACAGCCGAACATCCCCAAAAAATGGCGCCAAAAAATTTATTTACACACTAATAGCCGTACGGCAGGTGTTCGCCGGACATTGGGGGGTAAATAGCATAAAATGGAGAGTTTAGTGGAGCACCGGAAATTCAAAAATGAGAAAAAGTGGGTGGGTACATGAGCAAACTCTACTAGATTCTGGGTCATTCAAAGGATAAAAAAACTAAAATAGTTGTTAGCGTTTCCGGTTTTTGGCTCAGACTGCAAAGAAGATAAAAACTACTCTATTTGCGCATCAGTGGAACAGGTTCCGGAACTTTGGATTTCAGACGTCAAAAAAGCGTCGAAACAGGTCTACTCTAGTCGCGAAAAAAGTTATATGAGGCCGGAAGCCTAGGGTGAATGCATCAAAAGGATACTATCAGCTTCCGCTACCGTTTTAGCCTATGATGGACTGATGGACTCGGTGTGGAGGAGATCAACTTGCGGGTGGAATTCCGGCTTCGTTTCTTGGTTGGCCTCTTGGTTTTATTTATTCCGTTTTGCAAGGGAGAAACCCGTAAGTAAGGGCTGAATCTATTGAGTGGTAGGAAGTAACCTTAACAAATCAAACTTTTAAATCGGTGTTTAGGTAATTTTGAAAATTCATTTATCTCATTATTTGAATTTGAAGACTTCATCAACCGTTTTGTATGATTTATAAACCATAAAACAATATACATTGCATAAAAGCGAAATTTGATAATTGCAACTTTTCAAGACCCATAACCTCAAATAAAAACATTTTTGAACTTTAAAAAACCGGTAAAAATACCAAATTTAGTGATCGGAAAAATTTTCGCAAGAAATGCCAAACACCGTCTGCCAATGAAAAGTTTTTAGAACTTATTGACTTCCCCATTCCTTTAAACGCAAAAAAACCACTCTTTAAGAAAACTTAGAACGGAATATGGCCTCGGTTAGGGGTATATGTGGCCGACGGGAGTCAGCCGAGTGCGGCAAAATCTCATTTGTCGTTCGGAAGGAGGGTAGGGAATGGCCCAAGGGGGGCTTCTCCCTTTGGGTGAACGGAATGAGCTTTCAGGGGAGAAGGCCCATCCCCCACTCCCGGGCCCCTCTTTCCCTATCGATTCTCATTGGGATGGGGTTGGCTAGTTGCCAGCTACCGTGGAGGGGGAGTCGCTGCGGGACCCAGGCCGAGAAAGAGTGGCGTAACTGGACGGAAAAAAATACTATTGCTACCGTAGATGATTTGCAAATACGGAAAATAAAAGAACCTTTGCCGCATATTCCGAGGGAAAATTGCGTTATATGGTCACTAAACGGATTTTGGTTTTTTTTATACCAAAATGCTCAGCAGTTCGAGCTCGTTCAGGATCAGTTGAAAAAACTATTGGGAAACACGTCTGGAGCGAGTTATAACACTTCAAAGTTGGCGAGTGTCGTATATGGTCACTAAACGGCTTTTCGATTTTTATATGTCAAAACGCTCAGCAGGTCGAGCTGATTTTAGATCAGTTGAAAAAATTTTTGGGAAAAATCTCTGTCGCGAGATATCTAGCTTACAAAGCGTCCATTCAGCCCCTGAAGTAGTACGTAGTACACCAAAATACGTCAACTGTACATCGGAAAGAAACGGAATGGTGGAGAATTGCCGTTTCAAGGGTAAAAAAATACATTGTCAGGCAAGGTGGGCCGTCGCTTCGGATGGGCTGCCGCTCCATCTTGAAATGGGGCGCCCCGGCCGCTTCGCCGGCCTTGGCGCCCCCATTTCGAAACCCTGTACGAGCTCGCACCCATCCGAAGCGACTAGGCCCCGGGGTGGCACGAAGCCTTATTTTTAGGCTCAGATCGGGTGTGTAGTTTCATGCCAAACCCATTTCGAACCCAACCATTTTTCGCAACAACGAAAACTGACTCCGGGGGCGGCTAAATTGCGTTATATGGTCACTACACGGATTTTGGATTTTTATATACCAAAATGCTCAGCAGTTCGAGCTGGTTCAGGATCAGTTGAAAAAACGATTGGGAAACACTTCTGGAGCGAGTTATAACACTTCAAAGTTGGCGGGTGTCGTATATGGTCACTAAACGGATTTTCGATTTTTATATGTCAAAATGCTCAGCGGGCCGAGCTGATTGTAGAACAATTGAAAAAACTTTTGGGAAAGATTTCTGGAGCTAGTTAAACCACTACAAAGTTTGGCGTCATCCCCGCCCACTACATACCATGTTGTCGCCCCGGCGAGTCAGTTTTCGGTGTTCGAAAAATGGTTGGGTTCGAAATGGGTTTGGCATGAAACTACACACCCGATCTGAGCCTAAAAATAAGGCTTCGTGCCACCGGGGGCCTAGTCGCTTCGGATGGGTGCGAGCTCGTACAGGGTTTCGAAATCGGGGCGCCCGAGGCGCGCGTAGCGGCCAGGCGCCCCGATTTCGAAAGAGTGGAGCGGCAGCCCATCCGAAGCGACGGCCCACCTTGCCTGACTCATGGAAGTACGTTGAATACCATATACCACTTATGCGATATACCACTTCGAAGTTAGGCTTCAACCAGCCCCCTATATACCATGTTTTCGCCTCGGAAATTCCGTTTTAGGGGGTGCAAAAGATGGATAAGTGTGCGATAAGAGTTTCGCTTGACATTACACACACGATCTGAGCCTAAAAATAAGGCTTCGTGCCACCCGGGGCCTAGTCGCTTCGGATGGGTGCGAGCTCGTACAGGGTTTCGAAATCGGGGCGCCCGAGGCGCGCGTAGCGGCCAGGCGCCCCGATTTCGAAAGAGTGGAGCGGCAGCCCATCCGAAGCGACGGCCCACCGTGCCTGACAATGTATTTTTTTACCCATGAAACGGCAATTCTCCACCATTCCGTTGCTTTCCGATGTACAGTTGGCGTATTTTGGTGTATTACGTACTACGACAGGGGCTGAATGGACGGTTTGTAAGCGAGATATCTCGCGACAGAGATTTTTCCCAATAGTTTTTTCAACTGATCTAGAATCAGCTCGACCTGCTGATCATTTTGACATATAAAAATCGAAAATCCGTTTAGTGACCATATCTGACACTCGCCAACTTTGAAGTGGTATATCTCGCTCCAGAAGTGTTTCCCAATAGTTTTTTCAACTGATCCTGAACCAGCGCGAACTGCTGAGCATTTTGACATATAAAAATCCAAAATTGGTTTAGTGACCATATAACGCAAGTTTCCCGCCGGGGCTACAAAGTTATGTAGTGGGCCGGGGTGACGCCAAACTTTGTAGTGGTATATCTCGCTTTAGAAGTATTTCCCAAAGGTTTTTTCAACTGATCTAGAATCAGCTCGGCCCGCTGAGCATTTTGACATATAAAAATCGAAAATCCGTTGAGTGACCATATACGACACTCGCCAACTTTGAAGTGTTATAACTCGCTCCAGACGTGTTTCCCAATAGTTTTTTCAACTGATCCTGAACCAGCTCAAACTGCTGAGCATTTTGGTATATAAAAATCCAAAATCCGTTTAGTGACCATATAACGCAATTTAGCCTATTCCGAAGTAGTCATTTTACAAAAATTTAGAGTTAGTTTCAGAGCTACCTATTGAGCCTGTAACCGGTATAAATTCATTAAAGGAGTACTGTAGTGGCAAAATTCGTGTAGATAAAAATGACTGGAATTCGTACCGCTTAGACCTTTTTCTGCTCGTACTGTACTATGCTAATATGTAGTATGTAAATTTGGGCTATTTCGATGTTTTTACCCTGAAAACAGAAATTGCTGATTTGCATCAATTATATCAAAAATTATCCATTTTTTGTAAGGAATCATCTGGAAATCAAGCGCCTAATTTCTATCTAAAATTCCGATGGATTACGGTAGTTTAAATGCGCATATCGGGATTTTATGTAGCTTGAATGTTTGAGAAATTAAAATAAGCAAAATTGTTTTAAAACTACCGTTTTTAAAGGTATTTACTGAGTAACTTCTGTAAGTCATCTTTTTGATTTATGAGCTCAATCAGCAGTTTTAGTAGGTATCGCATATGAAATATCGATATTTATTACCACTGAAAGTCACGGGAAATGCAGTTTATCGTATCAAAAGAAAATTCGGATCAAATCATTTGATTTTCAGAATCAGGATACTTATTGAAGTCGGCTTGGATCAAGTTCTTCAAGACGTATAGTTTGTCACGGCGGGAAGAAGATTTGTTATTACGCACGTATTCAATGGATTGGCAACGGTACCAGGACATCGGTAGAAATATTCAAATTGCACAAGAATTTAATGAAAAATACATACAAAATAGGGTTATTAAAGTCGAGATCAGGGGAAAGTTATTAATAGTATTATTAAGGGGTAAGAAACATGCTTGGAGCCGAAGGTATCGGTCTTAGTATCGAATTTACATCAAGATACGGTATCAATACATAGACCTCAAGATACCTCCTTCCCCAGGCTTTATCAAAGAAATTAGATTCTAACAATTTTGTAAGCTTGTTCATGGCTCAAGTACATATTCGGGGTTGACGAAGGAGAAGCCCTCGAATTCGGTCTGGTCGAGGTTCATCAGGAAGAGTCGATCGATTGGGGTCAGCCGGGGCACCTCGTGTGTGAATTCCGGGTCGAAGTTAGAGACGTCATCGGGTGCTTTCTGTAGCCAAAATAAAATTCAAATTAGTAGCATTTCAGATGTTATTAAGTCCCTACAGCTTATATTTTTTGCCGAAAGCGTTTAAGAAATTCACTTGTCAATTAAATAAAATTCGCATAAAATTTCGAAACTTGCAATCATATTATAAGCAATTAAATAGTAATTAAATATTTTGCAGTTTTATCTAGTCAAATATCTTCAAGAATGTACAGCATTTGCTTGATTCATTAAAGGGCTATGCAAGGCATAACTATGGTTTTTGGTCAAAGTTTTCTATAGACTTTTTTACGCCCGCGACACGCTACGCAACGCACACGCGAGCCCTTTCATTGTGTCATCCACTACGAGCTCCAAAGGCAGAATAAGCGATTCGTGTGCGTTGCGTATCGCAGTCGCTGCAGCAATTTTCTAGAACTCAAATCCAAAAGGGCTTGCTTGTTGCCTCAAAATCTAAAGGTTAAGGAGGATTTATTGAATTCTAAAAACTCGTCAACTCACAATAATCTCCCCAAAATTCTTAAACGCTTGTCTGTTTACTTGTTTAACCTATTGTACACCTGTTTAATTAAGTATATTTTATTAATCACCACGTTGACAGACCGGGGTGAATTGTGACTGGGGCTCAAAAAAATAATAATGATGAAATGATAAGGAGAATGGCATTCATTGTCGTGATTCGAGGAGAGAAGAGAAGAATAGATATAGGAAATACGACGATATAGAAGACAACATCAACCACGAATAGATAAGGGCTTCCAGCATAAAATTTGTATATGTATGGAAAATTGGGGATTTTACTAGCGTAATCGGTTTGTCAGGTTTAAAGTTAGAGCTGGCCTAGCTTAGGCTTAGCTTAGGTTTCAATGTTCCTTTAAAACCCTTCAATCCTAACCAAACCATTCTACTAGGCAAACCGATTACAGTACAACTACGGATTCACATGATCCGCATGCAAATGATTGTCTATGGAATAGAGAAGGGAAAATGCAATTTTCCTGATGGATTCCGGATTTTCAGCCTTATTTTATTTTTTTATTATTTTTATTTTCTCGTTAAATTTAAATACCTAATTTTCGTATTAAAATTGCTGAATCCATCAAAAAACCATACGCCAAGCTTCACAACAACGATCCAAAAATCATATCGGGAAATAACGACAGTAAATGCATATGGGCATATGACAGCAATGCGAGTACGTTAAGAGTACTCCCTCGAAACTTTGGAAATACGGTTCGAAAAGTGCAAAATAGGAAAGAATAGATGGTGGAGACTGGCAGACAACCAAGTAGGAGTTTTTAAAGGGACTGGCAAGGCATGGCTATGGATTTTCGGCGCCTGGACTGTTCTTGGAGAAACACAAGCCAAGGCCAAGTTAAGCCTAAGCTAAGCCGAAGCTAAGACTAAACCAAGCCTGGGCCTAAGCTAACTTAGCCGAAAATCCATGGCCATTCCTTGCCCGTCCCTTTAAAGCGGAAGGTTTTTGGCCGATTTTTCTAACGATTTTTGTGTATAGATGGCACCGGTAATGTGGACAGAGACAGGTACGATAATACTGATAAATAGACACAAAACAAAATTTTCGGAACATTCCAAATTCCGGACAGGAAGTTGAAAGGAATGGCGCTTTGTTTGGGTGAGGACTAGGAGGATAGTTGACATATACATTTTCGGGTGGACAGGAAGGTGCAATGCACGGAATTTTTGGTTTCAAAGGACTGGGGAGGCAAATATATAACTAAAATAAAACCTAGAAAAGCGTAAAATTTTACAAAATAGCATCATTTTGCATTTTTTAGATTGTTCTAAATTATGGGCCTGATTTTTCTCTGTTGATTCTTGCCTTCCCGGTGCTTTTAAAGCCCCCCGAGTTTTAGCTCTTCAGATCGTTCAGCGCATTTTAAAGGGCCTGGCAAGACAAATATATCACTGAATAGCGAAATATTTCGCTATAATAAGCGAAAGCAAAATAAGCAAAATGATGGCAAAACAGTCAACATTTGTAAAAAAAACGAAAATGTTTTTTAGATCTAATTTCAAATTAGCCATAAATTATTGCCTTCCAAGTTCCTTTAAACCAAGATTCCAGCTTCTAAATGCGCTCATCGCATCAAAATCAGCGGCTCATCATCGACAGTGTTGGCAAAATGCGGGTTGACGAAGGAGAATTCGCCGAATTCATCTCCTCGAATGTTGCCCAAAACGGCCATATCAGACGGCGTCAACCTGACCGGCAACCGCAGGAAGGAGTGGTCGAAGTTCTCGGTGGATTGGCCCGATTTCTGAAAGATGCCGAGACAATGCACATTCCCTGCTGGGTTGAAGGGGAAAGGGTGGGTTCCAGGGCAAGAAAGGGGCATGCTTTGGGCTGGCGGGGTGTCGGGATACTGTGGAATCGGGGTTCCGGCGGAATTTTAGCACATCCTTCAGTGTCACACCTTTAATGTCTTTTTAGATAACTCTTGAACGCAGTCTTTGCTAATTTAATTTAAAAAAGATTAAGACTTAAATGCCCAAACAGCTATGTTTATGAATTAATTACCCTTTTCGTAAGACTCTTTCCGCTCATCAGAATGTCACTAAAGGCAGGCAAAGGCTAAAATCTGGTGCTACAAAGTGCTGGACTCTCCAGGATGTCTTGCGCGCACGCGATACGCAACGCGCTCAAACGCGCTCTCACGGATTACGGCCGCTCGCAGGTGGCGTCGCGTCTCGCGGGCGCGGCAAAGTCCATAATCCATAACCAAAAATGTGCGCGTTGCCGTCCTGGTACCATTAAAGAAATTAGGCCTCTGGGTATCAGATACCTTTAAGGAGCCAGGAGGTATTACGGAGAACTAAGATAGCAAGGTATCGTTATTCTCCCATCAATGTGAGATGCACCAATTCTACGCATTTCACGCATTAATGATACTAGATTTTCGCCAAAATTGCCGATTCCACAGTGCCCAGATGCCCACCACTTTTCTAGACGTCTTTTCGTACCCTACAGGTCTTTGCTAAACATTTATCTAACTTTCTATAATATTCGGGACGCGCATCAGATTGCCGCATGCCGACGACAAAACATTTAGACAGAGCTCCTTTCGAAGCCGTAATTCCGGAAAGATTTCAAGGGATAGTGCCCGCAAGGGGTGCGGCGGGAAAGGGGAAGTGATTTTGGAGAAAATGGTTAAAGAATTAACGGAGTTATTGTGTGCGAATTGTTAGGTATTTCGTTAAAAAGTCAAAAATTGACTTACCACTTTGGGCTTGAAGGGCGGTTGGACTTGACGGGCCTCGATCTTGAACCAGTCTATCCGCCGGAAGAAGGCGTGTTCCTGAAAAAGTACTGGTAGTCTTTGATCGCTGAAAATACATTATTGCCAGGTATTTTTATGGGAAGTGAACGCGTCACGTGCACGTTGCGTAGCTAGTCTCGCGATTCACAGTCAGGGCGAAAGTTGAAATTTTTGGGTTTTTAACAAGTCGTTAAAATCATGATCCTACTTGAATATCCCTATTCCCGTTCGAACCACAGCCCAGCCGCTTCACCGGGTTCTTCTGCAGGAATCCCTTGCAAATCGAGACCGACTCCTTGGAAAGAGCCTTCGGATACGAGACGTTGTGCTCAGTGATTGCTTAAAAAGTACTTCATTTTTCGACTATTAAATTTCAGGACTTTACAGTTTCGATAAAGCAATTTCATCTTTTGCATGTTTGCAACTAACCTGTGAATAGTTCATCTTCGTCCTCGCCGTCAAAAGGCGGTTGTCCGGCCAGCATCTCGAAGAGCAGGACTCCATACGCCCACCAATCAACGGATTTACCGTATGGTTGGTAGAGGATGATCTGCATAGAAAAGGTATAAATTTTTCTCGAAGAGAACCTTGTTTTCCATGTCTAAAATTACTTACCTCAGGCGCAATGTAATCGGGAGTACCGCAGAAGGTTTTCGTGGTTGCATCGCCAGTGATCCCCTCTTTGCACATGCCAAAGTCGGTGATCTAAAATGGACGAAATAAAGCTGAACAACCAAGTTAAAATTACCGAACAATATACCTGTATAATCATGATGTGTTCAATAATAGTTGTATGAGTCGGCTTCCAAGGTTTCAGTAAAGTGATAATTACCTTAATATGTCCATCCCGTTCCAACATGACGTTGTCGAGCTTCAAATCTCGGTAAATGATCCCCTTGGAGTGGAGGAAGAAGAGGCCGACGGCAATTTCGGCGGCGTAGAAACTAAAAATAACCTTTAAGTTGCCTTCTCTTTTTTACTTACCATGCGACCGGCTCCTTGAACTTGCCGACCTGTTGAATTTGATACATCAGATCACCGCCGTTGACAAACTCCATCACGAAATAGAGGCGATCCTGAATCGATTGGATGGTTCTCTACCGCTATCTATCCCCCTCTCTGTCCCACCGTCTCTTACTCTCTCGCTCTCTCTTTCTCTCGACCCACCATAGTCTGGAAGCAAGAGTGAAGAGCGACGAGGAACGGTGGCTTGTCCGGCAAGGCCAACACCCTCTTTTCTGTCATTGTACATTCGATGTCATCGTCCTAAAAAGTAGATTTTCTGTCAAAGTCTAAAGCTAGCATGAAAAAGAAGTCCGGTAAGTAACCCACCTGAATAATCACATCCTTCTTCAAAATTTTGATGGCAAACAGTTCCCGGGACGTCTTGTGTTCTCCGAGCAGCACCTGGAATTGGACAGATTTTGTAGGCCGGAATTGAACTGGATTTTTAGACATTTAAACGGATAACGACACTTAATTTGAATTATTCCTGTCGAAATTTTATCTAGACTTTTTCAAATTAAATTAAAAAATATCTTCATCCATTTTTTCAATGGCTCAACAAGCGATACCATTTTTCCCTTTTTTGACCAGCTTTCAAAAGCTACGTAATTTTAAAGCCAAGCGCATTTTTATGTGATTTTAGGTTTATATAAGCTTAGGAATGTCACCTAACTGTCGAGATCTAGCTGATCACTGGGGCCGATTCTGACGCTTTTAAACCTCTTTAGCGGACATAGCTATGTATTTTCAACCAGGGATTACATATGGCTAACACCCCGGCGTGCGCTAATTAGGTATAATAGATTACGCTATGAAAGCCCAATCGCGCGCTGCGTGTTGCGCGCGCGGAAAATCTTCATGGATTTTCAGAACGGGAAATGTCGCGGATTTCAAAGTTTCGAAAACGATATCCACTCACCTTTCCAAAAGATCCCTTGCCCAGCACGGTGATAAAGTTGAAATCGGCCGCCTTGATGACGTCGCTCTTCAACGTTGGAGACTTGGTCATGTCCCTCGGCTTTGGCGGCGTCTTTTCTCGATTTGACTAAAAATTGAATAGTTTTAAAACAACAGAGATCTATCCAAGTCTTCTACTACAGTCTAACTACCATATCTAAAAGCCAGCGAACCAACAGAAAAAAATAAATATAGAGAAATCGTGAAAAAAACAGGGATTATCTAAAAGTGTGAAATTGGGGAGGGATCTGGCCTACCCGGTGGCGAGGTCGACGTCCCTTTAATGGAAGTGATTAGTAAGCGAAGTTTTTGGCGTTAAAAATGGCAAAAATAAGGTTAGAAACTTACATTACAGTCCTCCATCTTTTTGCGCATCTTCTCGAATTCTTCCTCGTCCTCTGGTGGGATTGGGATGTTGTAGAACTCGCCTTCTTCCTGAAAAAAAATCACGAATAGGTGAATTTACAAGCTTTAGAGCATTTGTAGTATTTTAATTAGGTCCATTTTCATTTTAATAAAATTCTTATGTAATAGTGTTTTTTGGATACTTTTTGATGCCGAAACATAAAAATAGATGTGTTTCAGTTTTGTTACAAATGATTGAATTCATCCAAATCATTTTTAGCCCAGATGTGAAGGCATTTTATATACACACTTTTAGAGGCGTGCAAATTCTATATAAAAATCTGCTGTACAACTTCAAATTTAAAATGTTCGGCGCAATTACGTTCGTGTTTTAAAGATCTTATCGTATTTTTGAAGGACCTCGCAGTGATACTTAATATTTACTGAAAAAAACTTTTCATTAAATTTTATGTGGAATACCTCACCTCGTTCAACAGCTTGAACCACCCGGCCACGCCCTCCTTGATCAACTCCGAGATCCCGAAGGACATTGAGCCCATGAAGTCGTTTCGCGACGTCCGGTCCCAGTCCCACACTTCGATTGAAAGCCGGCGATCCCGGTCGGTGGGGAGAAGTTTGCTAAAAATCGCATTTTTTTGATGTCCAAAAAGTTGAATAGGATTATCTGAAAGGTACACTAAATAATCTATCGTTATGTGTGCTTAATAATCTGTAAACGTACTAGCTAAACTTCTCATCCCAAGTCGGGTTGAGTGTCGCTCTCAGCGTTTTTGTCTTTTGCTTCGATTTGCATCCGGCGTCTTCTGGAATCAGCTTCAACTTGACGTACGGGTCGGAGAGGCCGTTAGGGTCCATTGGGATGAGGTTACGGGCTTCTTTCACTAAAAAAGCCAGTTTATCTTACTCTGTCGCTCTCCTCTCGCTCTCTCTCTCTTTCTCTCTCTCTCTCTCTCGCTCTCTCTCTCTCCCTTTCTCGCTCTCTCCACTTACCATGAATCCTCAGCTCCCCTCCCTCGACTCGTATATCAACCAGCATCCTCCCTCTCTTCTCCGTATTGTCAGTTCCGCATAAATTTGGCACATTTTTCACGCATCTGTGGTGGACGTTCGTGTCGCAGGACTGGCATTTCATTCCCTGAAAAAGGTCAGTTAGTGAGGTATCTATTAAACTTAATTATTAGCTTTTCTAGAACTTAATATCTAGCTAGAAAATATATCCCCATTCGTAGCGCATCCTAATTAAAGGCAATAGCAGTCCTAACCCAAAATTACCTGTCGTCTAAAGGCGGCCACCCTCCAGGCGTACATAGCAAGCATTTGGACAATGTCAGGGAATGCCGGGATTACAGATTTCTGCGCCGATTTTTCTCACGTAAAGTTCGCGCACCGAGTTCTGCGTCAATTCCCTGATTCATTTAGGGGCCTGTGAGCTTTCAGAATGGCGACCCGAACACGAACAGAGTGCGCAAATCGCCCGTTTGGGTCAAAAAGAAATGGTCGCGCTAAGGGGAGTAACTCATTTTTCGGGTCCTATGCCATCATATAGCATTTTTAAAGATTTCCTTTGTGTTGCGATGACGCAGAAACTAATTTTTATTTTGCCTTTTTTCGGTTTAAATGGGTGGCAACAGCTAGGATGAGATTTTTTTGCGGGCTTGCAGCGATTCTAGCGATCGAGAAGCTGGTTAAAAGCAGTTGCTATGATTATTTGCTTTAGTTAAAAGTTTCATTTATTTTTATTTTTTCTGCTCTATATACTGCTTTTTATACCGGGAAATTTGGGTCTAACGGGATGGTGACACTTCACTAGTGTTTTTCTGAGGTTTCAGTCAAGACAGCAACGATACCAGATGCCAGTTGCCATGATTATTTTGTATTACGGTATGGTCTCCTTTTAAAGGGACTCGGACAGCTGATGATTAATTTCTTACCTGGTGTATCAACCCGTAAAGCAGCGAACCGCAGTGGTCACAGAAGGTGGGCGAAGAGTAGGTCTGTACCTTCCATTTGTGTTGCTGTCGAGGGTCCTGAACAATTCTGTTAGTTTTATTTTCAGCAATTTTTTCACTCTATATCGATCCTTGCACTTGGATTTTTTCACTCCGCCGTTTCGAGTTTTCCGGTAAAAACGGTTTGTTGGGGTGAATTGACGAGGGCGCCACTTTTATGGCTACCAATAAAATTAGCGCCCCATGGACCACTCGTTCGGGGAGTTTAGCTACCCGTAAATGCGTGGGTTTACGGTCAGCGTGACTTGATGAAGCCAGAGAACTGGGAAAAACGACCGGAAATGACAATTCCAGCTGTGTTTAGATGATCTCAGTAGCTTTTTGGGCATCTTGGATACGTTAAGTCCCATTCCTAGAGTTTTTGAGGGTGGCGGGAGGTTTATCTGGGCTCTAAGATCCAGATTCCAAGCAAGCCTTAAAAGCGGTGACAGCCTGTCACCAAAAACTCACGTCCGTATCGGCTCCCTTGTCAGCGCCCGGGCACGCAAAATTGACGAACTCGTGGCAGCGCTTGTGGACGACGAGGGTGCAGACTGAAAAAAATGGGTAATAGGACTACGGTAGGTGTGGGAGAGAAAGAGTGAGAGAGAGTGAGAGACAAAGCACCCGAGGGTGAGATAGATAGAGAGTGGACATCTGCGCGAGAGACTTTTATGAGAGAGAAAAAGAGAGCGTCCGCGAGAGAGAGACAGAGAGATAGCGAGATAGTACTAAAAACGAAGAGATTTGCCATATTTCAGGTGTTTTCAAGGTGGCTTTTGATAGCGTAACGTATTTCGCCGATTTCCCTTCTTATACTCGTTTTTAAAACCCACGGATCCCCTATGTTTTTTCCTGGAACTTCCCCCCTTTTTGGGCCCATAGCTATTCCCTCCCATCCCCACCTAACAACGGGTGGCCCATATTTGAGGAGAAGCCAAGAAACACACCTCCCCATAAGCCAAAAGACCACGCCGCCCGCCGACTCCCGAGCAATTTTCCTGGCCCCCAAAAAGTCCGACATCGCTGCCCTCCTTAGCCCTTCTCGACATATACGTCGCTAGGATTATGGCGGAATGGGGCAGATGATGTAGTATTGCGAGGAGAAGTAGAAGGGCATGGTTACGAGCAGGGTTGTTCATTTGCGGTCCGGTCCGCGTCCGTCCGCCCGGGACGCGGACCCGTCCCGTCCGCGCAATTAGCATAAAAAATTGCGGACGGGCTGGGACGGGTCCCGGACGGGCCGGACGGACGCAGTGCGGGCTGGGGCGTCCGCGCGTCCGCGATGCAAATGGCCGGAAGCACATGCAAAATTATTAGATGCAAATTAAGATATTGAACCAATTGCTGCCCTTTGCATAAGTGCTTTACTTGGGAAAGAACGCGATAAACCGTCATTTCATCAATTATCATGCGAGTTTTGGCTGCCCGCGCTTTGCATAGCGGGCTCGGCTACTTCCTGCGTCCGAGCCCGTCCGGCCCGTCCCGGACCCGTCCCAGCCCGTCCGCACTCCCGGAACAAATTATTCGGACGCGGACGGGTCCGGGCCCGCGACCGTCCGAGCCCGTCCGTGAACAACCCTGGTTACGAGGTATTAAAGCGACTGGGAAAGAACCAAAGATTTTTCTGACCGTTTTAGAGGTCTCTGGAAGTTCACAGGCTGCTTTTAGGCGTACGAGCAACACCAGACTACGTTTTTGAAGTTTTGAATGATTGCCGAAAGCAAAAAAATGTTTTTCGTTTCCAGTTTCTTTAATCAAGGCTCACAAAGATGCAGAGGCTGGAAATGGCTGTTATTTACTTAAATTTAGCGTTAAGGACTGCTAAAAATGGCATGTTTTCATGAAAAGGTAGACTAGGATCAGAAAAAGTACGATTCTGACTTCGACTTGGCGAAAGGGCTTGCAAAAAACTATTTCAATTTTTTAAATAATCAGATAGACCTAAAAAACGTTATTAATATCGTCGCGCTCGGCTAATATAGCGGCGGACTAAAGGTTTATTGGCCACAGGATATCAGAAAATGAATAAAATGACGACGGCCACGTGGTGGGGTTTGAATTCCAAAAGTAAACAAGAGAATTAGGGGTCATAACGCACTTTTTAAAACTTTTAAGATAATTTTCAAAGCAGATAAGGGAAAATAACAATATTGATGGCAAAGAGAGTATAATCAGAGGAAAAGCATAAGAAACCCACCCTGACACTGAAATCCTTGCTTCGTGATGCCCCACAAAAAATCCTTGCAGTGACTGCAGAACGTCGGCTGCTTAAAGAAGCGGGCGATGAATTTGTGTTGTCTGAAAATGAGAGATTTTTAGAAGTTTTGTGGCTAATTATCTTGTTTGCTTTTTCCAGTTTTTTTTTTGCTTCCGATTTCTCAGGAGCTTTTCTCATCCATGCGCGCTCGGGGGTTGATGCAACTATTATGAAACGGTTCTTCGCTTTGGTGCTCTTTACGACCATCTTAAAGGGAGCGTGACAGGTAGAGAGTCAGAGTAACGCTGAATCTTGCAGGGAAAAACAAGATGCTATCGTCTCTTATTAGGCTCGCGGTTAACCAAAAACTAACCACCAAAAAGCTCACATCTTGAAGTGTTTTCGATTCCCCTTCCAAAACACACACCCAAAAACTTTCCACGCTTCCCGTTTCGCATCTCACCACCCCCCGAAAAAAATTTCATCAAATCCTTTAGGGGGTTGTTGTGGGTCCTATCCCATTCCCTTCAGAAGGGTCCGGGGCCCAGCTGGGTATGGCCATAAACGCAGTGTGTGGCTAATGACCAAATTGGGCGATGCGCCGAAAAAAAATTTTGCGTCTAGCGCGAGTTTTCCGGTTTTCCGGCCTTTTGAGTGACCCCGCTGGTCAGGTGGACACTACATATAAGGAACGGATGGAGGGAAGAAAAGAGAGAGAGAGAGAGAGAGAGCAAGAGTGAGAGAAAGAGTGGGAGAGAGAAGCAAGCTACAAGGATAATACCCCAAAATTGCCTTGTCCAAGACCGGAAAGTTGCCGGTGGCCACCCCCATTATTCACTGGCCCCCGAAAAAGCCAAGGCACCCAGGCCACTTCTGGGGCTTGAGGACCAAATTGACTTCCGAGATTAAACACCAGAGAAGAACGGGAATGAACAAAAATTATTTATATAATATTTTCTATAACTTGGAGAAAGCTAGAGAGAGCGGCAGAGAGAGAGAGAGAAAGAGAGAGAGAGAGAGAGAGAGAGAGAGAGAGAGAGAGAGAGAGAGAGAAAGCGAGCGAGAGAGAGCAAGTGAGAGAGTGTAAAAGAAGAGAAAGAAAGCGAGATAGAGAGAAAGGAAAAGGGACAGAAGTGAGAGAAATCAGTTATTAAAATTCAACTATTTAATGCTTGGGTTCTGTCAAAATTCTTGTTTCATTAAACCCACTTAATCTCGTGCACATTCTTCTGCCTCAGCGCTCCGCGACGCACGAATGCCTTGCCCTCGATGCGCTCGGCTGAAAATCGGGAGGATGGTTAAGGGGGTGGTTTTGGAGGAATTTGTCGTAAAAAATCTTTTT